TAGCTATATTAACTTAATTAAGGTTAGCAAACTTCCCATTATATTTTAATGGGGAGTTTGCATAGCCCTATATTTATAGCTTAAAATACATTGCCCCTACCCTTAGCATTTATTATTTCTTCCTTAGCTATAATAATAATAATAATAGCATTAGCAATAGCAATAATAATAATAAAAATTAGTTTTTAGTTAAATTTTAAATAATATATATTTCTTTAGTTATTTAATTAATAATTTATTTAATAACTTCTTTTTAAATTAATAATAAAAGTGGTGGTATTAATAGTAAAAGAATGAGTGGCGGTTTAGATATATCTTACCTTTATGATTATATTAATATATATTAAATAGGCATTTAATAAATAAGGAATTGCTAATTAGCTTAAAAATATATATAATATTAATTTTATTTTCTTAATTAAGTATTTTTAATAATTTTTCTTAATGCTTATATGGAACTATGTTAAGGCAAATGTTTTTGCAATGATTGCATGTTACTTAATAATAAGGCTAAATAATTAGCTTATTAAAAAGTTGTTAAATTTACTGGTAATTAATAAGCTTATTAATAATAATTATTGCTATGTAAATAGTGCAGCCTTTATATTAAGCTTTATCTTTAATATATTTCTTATTAATAAAAACTTAATTGCAGTTTTTTGCTAAGTTATTAATATATTTAACTTTGCTTATAATAAGTATTATTAATAGTATGGCTTATAATAAAATTGCATAAGGGCTTTTAACATTAATTTTATACCTTTAATCCTAAGAAGTGCTTATTTAAACTATGCATATAATAATTAAGTTAAAGATTATTAAACTATATTATAGCCAGCTATTAATATGCCAATACCTTAGTTTATCTAGCTTACCTAGCCTTTTATTTATAAAAATTAAGTATATAATATTAAGGGAAATAAAAAGGAAAAGGAAGAGGAGGATTATAACATAGGCTTTAATGCTATATTTAATAAGAATCTGCGCTTATTGCACCTTTCTTTAAGTTTAGCTTAAGCATTTATTTTAATTAATAATTAAAAGTTATTTACTAATTTAAATATAAAAGCTATAAATATTAATAAAGTTAAAGGCACCCTAGTACTTTAAAGCTAAAAATAGCCAAAGAATTTCTCTTTAAGTCTTAAAAGGATAACATAACTTAATAAATTAACTACTAAGCTAGTTTATTATTATATAAAAGAGAAAATTGCTTATAAAAAGAGCAAGCTTTATTAGTAAATGCAAGATAAGAAGAGCAAACTGCCTTATTTTAACGCTATATAAAGTATATAAGATAGGACTTAGGGGGCTGCGTTACTATATAAATAAGTAAATAATGTTTATAATTTGCATTTAATTTCTTGCTTTCTTTATATTTACCCTTTATAATTAAGAATATTAATTAGTTTATTTAAGTAATATATAGCGCCCTTTTAAGTAGGAGTTAATTATTATAATGTTTAGCTTGCTAGGCATATAAAGATTGCTTAGGGTTATTATAAGAAGTTAATAATAAAAATTTATATTTAGCTATATAAGGATTAATAAACTTCTTACTTAATTTAAATAAAAAGTTTGCTAAGCCTTATATCTTTATAATATGCTTACTTTATTATTAAAAACTAATCTTAAAAATTAATGCTTTGCTTATAATTTAGCAAATTTTAAAGTTAAATAGTTATTAATTAACTTAAACTTTATATTATTAAAATCTTTAGCTTTTAAGAATTTAAAAGTAAAAATTATATTATATTTAGTATTTTTTTAAATAAAGTTATAAAGGGGCTAAGTTGGTATTTCTTCCTTAAAAATAAGTTATAATCTTTATAATGGCTGCTATTAAGTAAGGAATCTTTTTATATAAGTAAATTGCTTCTTTTAATATAAATATACTAAGATTATTATTTAATAAAAAAATTAATAAATATTTTAAACTTCTTATTTAATTTTATGCTATTTAAGTAAGGAGTTTAAGATATTTATTAACTATGTTATTAAAACCTTATTAAAAGTAAATATTAAAAGTTATTAATATTAAAGGTTATAAAAAAAAAGAAAGAAATTAATTTAATAATAAATAAAAGATATTATTTTAATTTCTAAACTTTATCTTAGCTCTTTATATATTATGCTATAACTTTTTATGCTTAAATAATATAAGTAAGCTTTTAATATAAAGTTAATATTAGCTCTTTATTTATTTAGCTTTTTATTATATCTTTTCTTTAACTTTTTATAATATTATTAATTTAAAGAAAAGGAAGGAAAGAAATTATTTTTTAATAAGTTACTTATATAAGCAATTAATTACTATTTAAGGAAGTAACCCTTTTAGCTACTTAAGCAGCCTTTTATTTATTAACATAAAACCCTTCCTCTTTTTCTTTTGCTTTTTTTTCTTTTTCTTCCCTCCTTTATTATATAATATATATATTTAAATCTCCTTTTTATATTGCATAATCCTTTTAATATTAAAATTTATAAATAATAATTAATCTTTATTATATAATGGCTACTTTTACCCCTTTAATTATAATATTGCTTAGTTAAGTTATATAGTGCATTATTAACAGCTAGCTTTATGCAATCTTTCTTATAATAATGGGTATTAATTATACCTAGCTAAATAAACTTATTATTAATATTTATTTTAAAACCCTTTTTACTATATTTTTTATAATTATGCATTAACTAGCTTTTAAAATAAGGAAATAATTACTTTTTAGCTTTAGTTATATAATATTCTTATTTATATATATTTAAATAAGGATATTAAACTCCTTGCTGCTAAGATTATTTATTTTTTAAACCTCTTTTATATATTTATTATTACCTTATATAAACTCTTTATTTATTTATACGCTAATAAGTATATTAACCTTATAATTATTAGGTTTTAAAATTACATAATTATCCTTAGATTTAAGAATAATGCTTATGCAAAGTATATTTAACATTTAAATGATTATTATTATAAGTATAATATTGCTGCCTAAGCATTATTATTTAATAATAAAAGTAATGCTTAAATAAGGGATAAGGGATATTATTAATACTTTAAATAATTTTAAGTAACTAAAAGTAGGCTTATTACGGGCTTTATAGTTTAATATTTATTAAGTAGTGATTTTAAAAAGTTAAAATTGCATATAGTAAGAAATATTTAAATAAAGTTATTGCATAATGGATTCTTATTTCATTATTTAATAATTTAATTCCCCTTTTATTAATCTTTTCTTGCTTAAAACTATTTACTATATTATTGCTTTTTTACTTATAAGCTTAAGACTTCTTCTTAAAAGAATAGGCTACTAATATAAAGCACTATATTTAAATACCTTGGCCTTAAAATATTATTTATATTATATTTTTATTTATATTTAATTTAAGTTATGCCTTTCCTATAAGACTAACTTTCTTTATAATTTTAAATAATAAGCCAGGCTTTCTTATATACTTAAACTTGCTTTATACCTTATTATATACATAGGCTTTTAATATTTCTCTTTATTAATTCCTATACGCCTTATAAGGCGTAAAATTACCTAAAGCAGGAAATTACTCTTCCCTTAACATTACATTATAATATTAATAATATTGCTTTTTAGGTATATATAATATATATAGAAATTAAATTAATTAATTAATTTATATATAAATTAATTAATTTAGAAATAATAAACATTTTATAAATTCTTCTTATTTATAATAAGCTTTACTTATTATTATTATAAAGTAAGGCTAAATAATACCTTTTTTTTACCCTTTATTAAATTACCTATTTTAATATTTTACTTTTAAGAAAAAATTATTAACTAGCTATAACTTATTAATATTATAAAAAAGTACTCTTTATTAACTTTATTATGCTTATCTTTATACTTATTTTTAATTTTATTACTTAAAAGTATTGCTTATTAGCTTTGCTAGGGCTATACTTATGCTAAGTAAAAGGCTAAAAAAAAGTTTAAAAATTTAATTTATATAAAAAATGTACTTATAATCTTTGCAATTTTAACTTTATTATAAGAAAATGCTTCTTATTAGCTTTATTGCGATTATCCTTATGTTTATTTTTAACTTCGCTATAAAAAAGTATTGCTTTTTAAAATTATTAAAATTATACTTATGCTAGGAAAAAAGCTAAAAATAAATTTAAAAATTTAATTTATATAGGAAATATACTTATAGCCCTTATAGCATTAAGTTTAGCTACCTAGCTCTTTATATTTTAGCTTAATAAAAAAGCAAAAAAGAACTTTATAAATTGCTTTAAGCATTATTTATATCTATAGCCCTTATAATATAAAGTTTAAGCAGCTCTTTATTATAAAGGAAAAGGCATTATAATGCTAATAAAAAGATTTTAGCTTTAAGAAAACTTTTAAAGAAAAAAAATTCCCTTTTAAGGTAAGATAAGGCAGCTTAAATTAAAAAAAAAAGCTTATTAAGCTTAAAAGGGGATTAAATTATAATAAGGTTTTTTTAATTTATTTAATTAAGAGGCTATTAGCTCTTAAGATCTTAGTTTTATTATTATAATGCCTTTATTAATTAAATTATATAATTATAGTTTTTATTACTATATAATAACTTTTTAAATTTATAAAAGGATATTATATAACCTTATTATTATTATTAATTAGCTTTTGGCTTTTTATTATGCTTATAGCGTTTAATTAATTAAATCGCAGGGTTTTAAGAACTATGGCAACATAGCTAATGCTGCACTCTAAGGCAGTACCTGCAGCGGTTAACCAATTAGCTTGCAACTTTTCTGACCCATGGTGCGCCGACCGAGTTCCCATTCACAGACTATTCTAGACGAATAGCAAACGGGGCTTGTGAATTTTACCCCTCTCTGATCCCCCCTGAGGGTGCAGATCCCCCGGCCCCCTGTCCCATACACCTGGTACTGTGTAGGTATGAAGTTCCTATCGGCACCCCATGAGCTAGAAGATGGAGGACCTGCCATAACCATGTCTTTACAACGCAGGATGTCGGATTCGGAACTTGTTGACGGGTTGTTTCTGTCATTGTCTGCATTTCTTTCCACGGAATGGAAAGGTCAGCGTCAACCGTACAGATTCCTTGAAAATGTCCGTACTGCGTCCTCCGCGCCAAGTCACGACACATCCCGCATTTTCCTCGACTCCGGCTTCAAGGCCTGGGTGGCATATTTCGTTGGTAAACCGACAACAGCAAACGCCGATGGGCAAGCCCTTCGACGGCGACAGTTTGCTGCGCTGGACCGCCTGTCGGTCAGTGAAAGAAAGGGATTTGCGGTGAAGGTCAATGAGGTGCTACCACATCCAACAGTCGCAACACTTATCCTTTCGATGGAGCGGGACGCCCGAATGCCTAACTCGGCTGTCGCCAGTCTGGTTCCTTCCAAGCGCCCTCGTGCAGAACATGACGATTTCGGCTTATCGTCATCCTCAGCATACCCATCCCCTGGCTATTCGCAGTCCTTGGGCGACAACTTGCAAGCAACTGCTGATTCTGCCCCGCTGGCCGACGCGGCTGTGAACAATCTCATGTCTGCTTGGACTCCTCGTAAGCCGTGCTCTTTGGTCCCTCGTCGCAGGGTCCATGACTGACGAGCTTTTCGCAGGACATTACGACTTTGCGCCGACATTCTCATCTACTGACCATTGCCCGAGGTCTTTGCAACTATCCACCGATACCTCGCGGGGGACCATTGACGCGAGCACCTCTCCAGAAGCAGAAACACTCACAGGCGCGGATATTCCCGAACTTGATCTCTTCCCCGAATACCTGGCTGGGGCGATCCGGAGATATGACACTACTCCCAAGACCGCGGCGGTATCAATACAATTCCCTGCTAATAGCATCGGCGATGTCAATTGTATCATGATTATCGAGGTTCTGCCCAACAAGGTGGAACGTCTCGCGTCACTCCTGTTCAATGCACACCTCGAGACAGACGGAAACGAGCGAGAGCTGATCCTACCCGGTGGCTTGTGTGTGGTGCCAACACGGCTCCAGGGCAGCCCTCTCGAGTCTGTCACCCATGTTTTTGGTTCAACAACGGCAGCCGCACTCGAATCCGCCCCGTACCGCAAGATTGAAGTGGCAGAATCGGGCTCTCGCGTGGCCACTCGCTGCATCACGATGACTGAGTGCTCTGATGCGAAGAAGGGTGCCCTCATCAAGGTCACACTGGGTAGGAGAGAAGCCTCCAAGATATATGAGAAGTTGTTCAAGTCGAAATCAAGGTCCCGGTTTCCTTAGCAATCCCCTTCTCTTCCTGTTTGAGCATCTGCGATATCCGTCATGCTCAGCTCTCTGCCACCTTACCGCCCGAGAATTCGAGCGCCCAGCCTCGAGGCAGTATTCCTTTCATATCACGCCCCAGTATTTTTGCTTCTCCCCACTGTTGATGTTCGTCCTGTTGCAGTAGTTGCACCATCGAACCGGCCCACCGCACCATCTGGCCTTGTCCTTCTATCCACTTCCGGATCGAACCTTCTTTTGAGACTTGCTCGGCTTCGGATGGTTGTAGCACTGTGAAGTTCTGCCGGCAAGATTAGATGAGCCAAAACCCGAGTCCAGTAGAACGTACCGGCTCACACATAGTCGTTTCCCGGCTGTCTCGGCGTTCTTGTTCGACGGTGCGCTATCGCGCGGTTCGTTGGCAGAGGCGAAACTCGGGATGAAGCGGTGGAATATCGAGGAGAGAGGAACCAGGCGAAAAGTTGGGAGTTTTCGATCTTTTGCAAAAGGAGAGAGTTGGGCATGTGGCTAGGCCGAGACTCGCTCGAAAGGCTGAGGGTAGACACGTTGCTTTACTAGCGGTCAGTCGTGACACCGACAGAGAGCCCGAGTGTCCAGTGGGAAGGCATACATTCAGTCAGGCAGAAATCTCGCGGCCTGGTCCCATACCAAGTGGGTGATGCTTGCGGGAAGGGAAGAATTGCCCGGTCACGGAGAGTGTGTACACTGTTTGGTCATGCGGGCGGGGCCTGCTCTCACCAGCTGCAGCACTCGTGTGGGGTGGTCTGTGATGTTCGGTATTCGTAGTGGGTCTCTCACTCAGACCGCTGACTAACCGACGCTAGTAATATCCATGACCACGCTAGTAAAATACTCTCCATCTACGATTCTGCTGTGTACCACACCGTTGGCGGTCCACTACTTCTGGTATTCCCAAACGAGGGAAGAACGACCATATGGACGCTGGAGTAAAGCCATACTGGCATTCATTTTATTATAAGTGAAGAAGCAGTCAAGCCTCAAGATCAGTACAACATGAGCACCAACTTCACCCTCAGGCTCTTGTCTATGCCAGCTCGTCACAATCCTCTGAGCGGTACCTCAGCAACCTACTATCGAATCAAAGGTGCGAAGTTACCTCCATGTGTCTGAGCAAGGCTAATCATGTCATAGGAAACAGATAGGATTGGCGCCCCAAAATGTGTACATGGGTGGTCAAGCGATGCAGTAGTTGTGACTGGGAAATCTCGAGACGGAGGACGATTGAATGCGGGCACGGAGACCATCAAGCTTATACAAATAACTCGGTCGTCACCACCGACAGGAGCAGCAAGTGCCAAAGCTGTAGTTATCCCACGCCAGAATCACAATAATAGGTCTCGCAACGGTAGATAGTGGTAGCAAGTTGGGGGGTCTGAAAGATGTTGTATTGAAGATGGCCCATCTAGGTGACTGACGGGCTCTGAGGGCGTCTGATATAGCCAGACGCACAGGCCCTTCAGGGTTAAACCCTGGCACCCCCCCATGGGGGCTGCCACATGGATGCACGAGGGGTGGATCTGCTGGAAGAATGCATTCTTTTAAAACAACTGCCTAAGTCATTTTCATCGTTCGAGGGTTTGGGTAGACTGGGACCTTCCCATTCGCATGGTCGATGATGAAAGGTGGCTGGCTTCCGAACCCCGTCAAGTCGTGAATCTCCTGAATTTCTCTGTTGACTTCATCCGCCAACTTTCCGGGTGCCATTCTAGCACTCTCAGTACCATTGTTGCCTTTCCCGCTGAAATGGACCGCGAGAACCGTCAAGTTGTTCTCGCTTGGGAGATGAGCAGTCTCAGCATCGTAAGCGCCATGACTGATGTCGAAGACGAGGTGAATCCTGTTCCACCGCTCTACAGCAAGGAGCCGAGAGGCTGGAGCAATACCACTTGGAACCAAGCCGTGACGTTGGACTAGGTGGAGCGCATCCGCGACAACCGATTCAGGGTCTTCCCAAGCGGCATTGAACAGAGGGCTGTTTTTCGAAACACTGACAAAAACACGCCTTGCCATGTTCTAGTGGGGACAAAGGCGGAGAAAGAGACGCTCAAGTGGGGAGAGTGTGAAAGTATGACAGGAGAGAGTTGAAAAACCCCATGTCAGCCTTCTAGACCCACGGACGGAACCTTGACGTTACCATTGATGCACGTGATCCGCCTAGCCAAGCCTTTGAGCGAGACTGCACCCACTACATTGGCGCAATGAGCGTTCCTGCCACACAGCAATTCACAAAGAATGCGCAGCCTGAACTGCTCTATGTGTTGTTACACGTAAAGTTCGATTTACAATCAGTCAAACAATTGAACGAATACAGCGCGAACTAGCCTGGCGACGATGCCTGAAGTGTGCCCAGGTGTATGTGCTCTCTTCCGATGCCTCTCATTCCGGAACTTCCACTGCCGCTCCTCCTGCTATGAAACGTTGTAGCTGGTCCAAAGTCAACCAAGTTTCAAGCTCGACCTCAACTTGGTGCACGTGCAACTCTTTCTCCTTCTTATAGCCCGTGGCGAGGCCGACGGCATACCCAGGTGGCAGCGTCCATTTGATCCCACGAACATCCAGTGTGCAGTTCTGATGCCCCTCAACGGGGTCAGCAGGGTCATATGGCTGCACCCGCACGTGCGTAACAAAGTGGAACTTTAATGTGTTTTCGTTATCACCAGTCGCCCGAGGAGAACCACCTTCTGCGCCGTAAAGAGCCCAGTGGGGTTCTAGGAGAAGTCAGCACGGATTCTAATAGGTACAAGCATCTGCTTACCTGAGGTATGTTCATTCATAAAGACCCTGAGTGGGGGAGTCAGGTGTCCATTCGGACCGTCAGTGGGAGGTGCCATATTGGATAAGTTATAGATGACGAAAGTCAACTGATGCCCTATTAAAGTATCAATGAAAGAACAGAGAGGTAGATACCCGAGGAAGATATATATATGTATTCCCCCATCTCTTCGTTTCTCTGACCTGACTTCGGGCTGAGTGCCTTCCGATCCTCAACCCGCGAGGGTCGTGGCCGCCTGCCTCAGCCAGGCTGAATGGTCGAAATGTCAGTCACCCTGGCCTCGCCTTGCATGCCATTGGCCGACTACGCCAACCCGTCCTGTGTCCATGCTACGCTGACATCCCGTTTTCTCACTGAGGCGGAGACTTGTCGTGTATGTGAAATGGAGATTGTGGTGGGTCTGATCGCCCCTATTGGCGGCGTCTTGATCGGACTTGACTACAAGGCAAACATCCAGAAAAGCATCGAGGTCTCACTCGATTGAGGCCTTCAATCCTTCGATCCTTCGCGCTTGCCTCCGTGCCCCTTTTATACACCTATACGTTGAATTGGCCTTGCATCGTGCGATGGGTTGCACAGGCGCTAGTAAGGTGTTTGGCATGGGGCGCATCCGCTGAACCTATTTGGCCCGTTGGTGCGCAGCCGTGTCCCAAAGATCTGCATTCACGCTCTCAATCACCGATCATCACCGTCCATCAGGTCAAGGTTTGTGCTCAGGAAATCTCGCAATGTTTTTGTGTCTTTTTAATCTCTGGAATAACAACGGTTGAAAGATCGATAGTACTCTGGGTCCCTGCGTAAACTAGCCCGAACGAGCGACGAGGACGTCGATACCTCCATCTTGGCGAAGTCTCAGGTGGCCTTGCCGCTCTTGCTCGTCAATGAACTCCATCTGCTCGCATGCTATTTTTCTTACGTTAGCTGCAACTCATAGCACATCACTATTATGAAAACTTACTGAAATCTGGGCAATCCTTGATGACAAAGCCCGAGCTTTGTAGAGTCATGGACCCATTGCAGCCCCGGGGATCGCGGAAGTTAACGCTATAGAATAAGCGATAGCTGCCATATTGCTTCACCCGCATCGAATGAGCGTTGAATACAAACTTTAGGACGCGTATCCCGTTTTCACTGAGTCCTGCGACAGGAGGGTTACCCGGGAAGAACTTGTGGCCCTTCAAAGACTCGTCGACAACTGCTCCGGTATTCAAGTCACGCAGTCCGACACTCATCCAGAGATGTTCCCGAGAAAGGGATCTGAAGTAATCCTGTTCCAAAAGCAACTCAACGGCCGTTGTTCGAATCGCACGGCCGATGGTCACGATGTGGGGAGGACTCAACATCTCGATCATGATGCCAAATGGGAGGCGATTTGTCCCGGCCTGGGGCTTATCGACCTTTGGGAGACCGGTTGACTGGGAGGGACGAGGATCTAGTTCGTTGTCTTGCAGTGACACTTTGCTGAGACGGGCCCGGACTGCTACGTTGTCTTTTGTATCAGTAGGTGCAAATTGCGCTCGCTGAAGGAACGGGGCCAATGTCTTACAGTCTTCACCTAGTGCCTCCTCAGTTTCTCCTGCTGGAGAGGACGGTGCTGTTGTGCCACAGCTCTCATCGGGTGTCTGCTCACTCTGGCTTTCGGAAGGACACGGTGTCATCTCGCAGCTGTTATTGGATGCCACGCTCGCTGAGGAGGACTGTGCCACTCCCTCCAAGTTCTCGCCAGGTGTCGCCTTTACGGAGGAGTTGATGTCCTCCATGATTCCAAGACATGCCGGGGAGCCAGCATGTGTGGATTGCTCGGTCGCCATGTTTGTCGCTGAGGAAACAAAATGGAACGAACTCAGGCTGACAAAGCTAAACGTAAAATGGGACTACACAAGGCTTTATGTGCCCGGACAAGGCCTCCAGATCCCATGCAGGAGTTTCTGGTCAGGCGGTCACCACCGGTTGGACACAGCCTAATGTAACATGGTGCAGGAGGGAATTTCACTCGAAGCACTGGCTGTCTTGAATCCTAAGTTGTATGCAACTGTGCAGGCTAGCTGTCATGATGTAACGTAAGACCAACCAGCAGCTCAATATGAGTCTGATCCCTGACATCCTCCGCATCCTCAACACTCGAGGCGCGATCTACATGGAACCCCCTCAGATGTGCGTCACTGCGGAAGTGCGGTTTCTCCGTGCGGAGTCGGTGTCCGCGCGATTGTCAACTCCCTGGTAGGGGCTGCCTCCCTGGACATTGATCCACCTGGCGGTGCAACGACCCGCTTGTAAACAGTATCAGCTGGCCAGAACAAGAGCTCGCCCACTAAGTCCCTGGTTCGAGGGAAAGCTCGATAAAGATCAGAGACAAGTCTAGCTATGTTTTGATCAATGCATCTGGCGGATTGCTGGATGGATGCCAGCTTGAGCAAGGCCTTGATGGTGCTTTCGCTAGCTACTGTCAAGCGTCCGGGCAAGCGAGAGCTTCCTACGGCAAGGGCCCAGGTCACTTGATCTGCAATATTTTGATCTGGGATATCGAGTCTTCTCACACAGTTCAGTCAGCCAAAAAGTAAGAATGTGCTGAATGAGGACACAAACCAATGAGCACCCAGCATCTTCAGATGTTGGATCCAAATTTCCTTGTCCGCCGGTACGTAGTAGTACAGGAGAGCCATTATGCTAGCTGCTGTATTAATCATGGCAGTTACAGGCTCGTTGAATTGCAACTGTGATGCAGAACAAAGATTTAAAAAAGCAGCCACTCCCTGCCATATAGCCCCAGGCAATGCTGCCGAGGATTGGAACTTTTGGGATATGACAAGAAGAAGGAAACGAGCGACCGTGAGGTTCGAATGGAACTGTACTAAAGCCTCCCACTCATGAACAGTAGCTCGTTCCCATCTCCGCGGATCTTCCGATGGTCCCTGTGACTCGTACCAGCTGATCATGGCAGTCAGGCCTCGGATCTGTGCCGTGGGCGGCTGCGGCATCTGTAGCTCTAGAGATTTCATGGTTGTTTCCGTAAGGGGAGCAAAGATGAGGTAAGCATATTTTGGTCGCAACAAACACAATGGAACAAGCTGTGTAGAAGAATGAGCCCGATTTTATCCTCGGCCTGAACGAACAAGGCTGTCGACAAGGAGGTGTCTACCTAGGTACGTACAGCGTGCGGTTTATTGGTCTATGAGACTTGGAGGGCCAAAGGACTGGCTTGTCCTCCCTTCCTCTCTCTCTGAATTCGGGCATATGTACCAACACTAAAGCTACGCATCCTTTGGTGAGTAGCCCAGCTACCGGGATGTCCAATAAATCAGCCTCGAGATCTGGTTAACTGCCAGCCTGGTTCGAGTCTTGCATGTCATTGGCCCATCACAGCAACATCTTTACTCAAGTACCAGTACGTATTCGGGAGAGGCTGCATGGTTGACTGTGGGCTCCGACGCGCCGTCCGTATTGAACCAGTCGATTGGCCGAACTCGAATTTCTTTCTTGAATCCGCATCCGAGCGCCAGTGATTCTCCCTCCCTTGCCAGCGTGGCAATGTAACATACCCCTGCGATTATGCTTTGGTCATGCAGGTTGTCGCCTCGGCGCTAGTAAAATTTGCTGATCACTTGGGAGCGCCAAGACGGCGCTAGTAAAATATGCGATCCTCCTCGGTCGGCAGACCTGGCCGTCACTGCTTGGCAGCTTGGCATGTCACCGCGGCTGCCTGTCGAGTCATTGGTTTACCTGGGTACTGTGCACAGACAGCAGCTGACACAAGGCCTTCCCTCTTCCTTTCCGGCACGTCTTCGCTTCGAATCTCATGACAGCTCCCTCTCACCTTTCTGCACTCCTACCACCACCACCACCACCACCGCCAATAGTCTCGTATACTGCATTGCACAACCGCAGTGTACGCGGCTCTGCTGTGCCCCTTTGCCACGCTATAGAACAGACTCTGCGGTTACAACTCTACGGTCCCGATTTGGGCATTAAGGAGCAAGAGGTTAAACTTCTTGCGCATAGCAAAGACTAGGATAAGCAAGCTATATATCCCCTTTTAACCTTTCGCTTCTTTTAAATTAATGCAAATACATATAAATAAATGAGAAGTGGAGAGTAAAGGCTGCTCCCTTTACCTTTTAAAGCATGCTAAAGCCTAAGCAAGTAGGCTAATCCTATATAATCGCATATTAACTATATAAGGGACTTTTTCCTCTCTCCTCCCTTGCCCTAAATTTATTTATTTAATGCTAATATATTTAGCATACCTTATTAATATACATACTTTTAAAGCTATGGCAGCAATGGTATCCACCCCTATACTGCAAAGCTATAACCCGTAAGGCATCCTAAGTTGCTTTTTTAATACCAACCTACCATTTTTGCATATACTACCTATTAACTTGCAAACCTTCTTTAACCTTATTTAAAAACTAGCCCTATTTTAATTACGCATCATAGTTAATGCTTCGCGAAATCCCTTCTTTCTAAATATCTCGCTTAATAAAATCAGCACCTTCTCTCTTTAATAAGGCTTGCCCATGTATCTTCACTTCTACGTTACCCACATTACCCTCATTGCACCATAGGAGCCTTTATTACAGCCTATTATAAATGCAAATAGGGAACTACTTTAGGCATTATGCTTTTTTACGTAGCAAAATGCTATAAGGGTGTTGCTGCCTAATGATGGCTATAAACTGTTGCAACTCCTAGCCCTATGCAAGGCCATTAGTTAAGAAGGCCTGCAACCAAAACCAAGGCAGATAAATCTATAATCACTATATTAGGGCAAGGGTGGATGGATAGTAAAGGTTAATAAGGAGTTATATCCTCCAGCTTGCTTATTTTTAATAGTTGCGCCGTTAAATGGCCTACTCCCAGCGGCGAATCTTTCCTTTATAGCACGCAACGATAAGTTAGCCCTACCCCAATACTTAAATTTAGCGTCCCCCCTACTATTGCCACCGCTATCCTTTATATTTCTGCTAAAGAAAAGATAAAGGTAAATGCATATACCCTCCTTATTATTAAACTTATTCCTAAACTTTCGCATATAGAAATATTTTAACTTAATTTATAATAAGCATAAGAAGATAATATATAAGCTAATTTAATACGTTATAAAGAAGGAGAAAACTATTAAAAACCTAATGGATAAGATAAAAGCAAAAGAGAAGGTAATGAATAATAAGATTGCTAACTTATTAGCCTTAATTATAAAGGTAGAAAAGAAAGAGGTAGCATTATGCAAGGCTAGCGATATGTAATTATTAAAGGATAATTAGGAATAATTAAAGCCTATGGCCTTATAAGCTCCTACCATTTTTATATTCCCCCTAGCCAGCCCTAAGTTAATTAAGTTTATATCCTTAAATATCTTAAACCGTATTTAAGCTTATATCGCTATATAATTTAACTATCTGCATAATGAGATTGCTTATAAATATGCCATTAGCAAATCCATAAAATAGCAGGTTAGCAATAAGGTAAATTATATATTAAATAGGTATATTAAGAAGCATTAAATGTTTAATGCCATTTATAAGGCTATTAATAAGGTAATAATGAAGGTAAGGGTATGGGTTTTAGCTACTTAGGAGTAGAGTTGCTAAAAATATTGTTATATATGGTATATAGGGCATGAATTTAAATGAATTGATATTACTAAGTACCTAATACTTTCTTTTAAGGTGTAAATATCGTCTTATGAGAGAAGTAACTAGTTAGCATGACTAAAGTAGGATGGGAGCACCTGGATTTTAGCCACCTAAATCAACGCTGCTAGCGCCTATGTGCGCGGCTAAAGCTTGCTATTGGATTATGTAAGCAAAGTTATCTAATTTAAATATACTTAAGCAATAAGTTTAACACTAATATAGAAATGGAAGGCCATAATATATTTTATGCATTATGTGAAAGTTCGCATAATTACTTTAGGCTGTTGAATTACTTAAGGCGATGAGTGAAAGGCAGCCCCTAAGAGGCTAGGGCTAGTTTAGGTTTAGTGCCATTCTCACGGCACTATATCTATTTAGTAAGCGGGGAATATCCGCAGGATGCTAGTTACATGTTTAAGCCTAATATCTCATAGTTATATCAATGGCCTCTACTCCTCCGTCTTTTATAAAAGACATTTATAAGGCCGTTTTAAATAATAAATTTTTTATTGCCCATAATTTAAGTCTCGGGGAATACATTAAGCAGTTAAATAATGAAGCTATTTATCTTGCATTAGCTGGCGGATTGCAGTTCTATCAGGAGAATATTCTCAGGAACCCAGTTAGTTCAAAGTTCGGTCATCCTAAAATTGAGCCCTAACAGTACAGGATGTTCAACAAGTCCTTCAGTCGTTCTTCAACGTTTCCAGTCTGGGACTGTATAGAACAATTGGTGCAAAAACGCCTGGTGTCTTTACTTTGAGAAGTGATCGAGAGCCCTCAACAAGTGTCTTGCTCGTCCAGCTATGGGGCCAAGGATCAAGCGCGAAATACTGGGGCATGTCACATAAGAACTGGCTTGAGCCGGTTCAGGCCGAAAATGGTCTCCTACAAGTCAAGCCCGCCGTCCTCGATAACCTCGGCCTCACTGCCACCACGGTCGAATTCCCACAGGGCGGCTTGTACGTTCCCAGAATCATGTAATGGGGACCAGCTAACACTATCAGCAGCGCCGTTCTGGATTATAGAACTGCATTCGAAGTCAAGCAGGGGTCGGCTATCACTGCTGCGCTTGGAAGACGGGAATCTGTCGAGCAATGGAAACCAATGAAGCTGCCAGGGTCGCTTGCACCAGTCGTAGGCGCTATGGGAGGTGACAATATTACAATAAATGTGGAATTTATTTAAAGAAATCCATGCTTTCCGTGTCTATCTGTGTCCAGGCTTGCTAGTCTGCCGAACCCGGCAAGGTGTAGTAAGAAGACGTGTCAAGCTGGTGAGCCTCTGTGTTCCTACTGAAAGTAGTGTTTGGTGGAAAACATGATGCATCAGGCGGTTGTGGGATAGGGAAAGGAGGTATTGTATTGTCCCAGAATATTGGCGCGGTTATGCTTTCTGGAACGAAGCTCGGCACTGCTGCTCCACCAGCGACAAAAGCTTGCGGCGCCGGTAAGGGGTTGGACACAGTGGGCGTTCCACCAATTCGACCTGGGAGCGATGGTGACAGGGTAGATGGGTCGTATAGATATACCGCTTCGTGGCACCCATTGGCTTGGCTGAGAGTGTGGGAATCAGACACCCGAGGCCGCTTGGAGGGCGGGTTTGGCAACGGCTCAGTCTCCGCCAACATCCGCTTCCTGTTGCTGACACTGAGTCCTGTTGGAGCCCGCTGCTTCTCGAGGACGACCATCTTCTGCCTGGAAACGCTCCGCCAGTGTTTGATTCTCTCCTTGGGTGTTTTTGCCGTCGAACTTTTGCACTTATGCCTGATAAATGCCCGCACATTGGTGAATATATTGCCACAAGCACATATCTCGAGGCACTTGACGTCTGTGTGAGTGAATTAGTATGAATCTCCTGGAAAATGTCGGCGAGAACTACACACGCTTCTGATAATGGATCTCGAGTCCTTGCTTCTCTTTGAAGCTTTCCCTCCTGAGACGTTTGGGATCGGGGCATCGGTGGCGGTGGTTGCCACGTGCTGCATCCAAATCGGTACCAGTATCCTCGTTGTCGCTATCATCGCTAGAGATGTTGTCTAAATTAGATGGAGGCAAGTGTGCCTGGACTTCGATCAGTCTAGCCAGCAATTCCTGGATCTCATACTGTGTAGTGGACATTAGAGCGGCGATCCATGGGGGCAGCGCGAAGTGACGGACCTGGAAATACTGAACATGGCTCCGCAAGTCATCGCCATCGTTGAACACTTTGTGGCATGTATAACAGCAATGTTGGATCTTCTTGGTCATTTTTCTTCAGAAGGGTCAACGCATAGAGTAAGTGGAGAAGGTTCACCAAAGTTTGGTCCTTGGGGAGTGGAGAAAGTTAAGATGTGCGGGAGAAAAACGAACGCCCCGGGCACCGCAGTACGGGGAGCACCTCGGGAAGGCAGGTGGTGGAGCTAATGTGCACGTGGTTGATTGCTCCTAATCAGGATGGCACGGAAAGGACTACCTCGCTCACGAACCGAATATATAGATGCGACCGACCGTACTCTGTCCAACGTCATCAAATGAAGAAACTCCAAGCCTTCAACCTCGCCCCACCACAACGGCTTGTCTCATTCATCGCTTCATTTCCAAGAGATCGTCAAGTAACATGCCAGACTGTCGAGAATGTAATGGGACTGGTAGCGTAGGGCAATACAAGTGCACCAAGTGCGGAGGTGACGGAAAGGAGGACGGGGATACCAAGCAGAGGAAGTCGACCATTTGTGGCTTGCCCTTCATTCAGCACGCATTGACTAGGTACGTCATTTCCCAAGATCCCTGCTATGAGTACCTCGGATCTGAAATCCTCAGAAGTGACTATTGGGCAAGCGGCTTATCTTCTACTTTGCTGTCAATCCGGTGCGACTTGCTGCGGTTGGCTAAGGACCTGGTGAGCATGCACCTAAACAGCACTTCCCTGTTCGAGGCCAAGCAGCTGCAGCTGTGCCACACCGGTCAGACAGGAACACTCTCTAGTGACATCGTCGTTCAATATTTGAACGTGTGGATGTAATGCGAATTTCCTGCTCTGATGCTACACTTTTCTTTGTAACTTGGCAGGGGTACACCCATACTAGCTCTGAGCACTTTGGTCTCACAAATGTGTGGGGATAGGTTTTGAGGATACAGAGTTTTTCCATATATGAGCTCTCGGATCTGTATGTAGGCATGACAACAATATCACATGCGGCCATCTGACTACAATACGCCGAACTTTTGTCGTGGGTTGCAACAGAGACCGATTCATTCCTACAAGATCGTCATCAAATTACTCTGCCGGGCTTCAATATTCCCTCCTATTCCGTAACCACGGCCCCTCTGACGCGTCATGATCCCCCAGACTGGAAGGGTGGGGTCCTGGACTTGGTAAATATCTATTTCAGTGCCGGTCTAGCATCACGTTAGTCTCCTATCTGGTTATTCTGAATGAGGCTCTTGCCTGTGAATAGCTGAGCCCAGCTGCATCGGTGATGGGAAATGAGGCCGGGCTCTGCTGAGTGTTCGTCCCCGGTATCCACTGTTGCGCCGGGTATTCAACCCTGTCGTGGCAACAAGACCGCTGCAATCCGGCGAATTGGATCCAGTCTCCCAACTCTCGGTTGAGTGTCTGAAATTGGTTCTCTAGTTGTTTCTTGAACTCCTGAAACTCTTCCTTCAACTCTCGTTTGAACTGCAGGTACTGATCGGATTCCTGAGACTTCTTCTTGGGTGTAGAATCGATGGCAGAAGGTGTGAAAACCTTTTGCTGTGAGGTGTGAGCTTCTATAACTTCCAATACTTTATGCGAGAAAGATGTTCTATGCCGAGGTGCTCCGTTTCGGTGTAGGAACACCCCGCAGAGTTTGCATTCGACAGAGTCTTCTCCTCTTTTTTGATGAGTTCTGAAATGATCAGCCACACGTGGATACGTATTGTAGTAGATACAATCGGACCGGGGACATAAGGATGATTGACGGTGGTCGACGTAGTAGTGTTGTAGGAACTTTCTAGGGTCCTCAAAAATGAACCCACAAGTACGGAAAGGGCAGGCCCAAGAACCTTGAACGAAATCTCTCCTTTCACAAAAGGTATTAATCTTTTGTGCAACGGAGCCTTGGCTGTATGCAATGACGGCATCTGATGAATGGTGAGAAGCCATATTGTGCGAGGACTGACAGACGGGAATAGTACAGAGCTCATATGAGATGCGTAACGCTTGATAGATGCACGGAAAGGTTCGTGGTACGAGGAGAGAGCCGCTGAGTTTCGAGATTTATGCTTCCTTCAGGCGCACACATATATTCACCCCTCAGAACCCCCCTCCCCTCGCCCCAATCAGTCTATTTCTGGAATCATTGCAACAACATTGAGATTAGCCCCCGATATCTCCCTCCCGCATGAGATCGTGTGATCCTGATGGCTAACTTGTTGGTTGCCCCTTTCCTTCCGCCGTCGACGGAGGCCTAAGGGGCGGCTAGCGGGATGTTAATTATAGACCGTGCTTCATGTGTGAGAAGGTAGGGCCGTGAGTGGAAGGTTGGCTCAACCGTGATCTCGGATCCCTGTAATTTCACAGATTTGTCTTTTTTTGATCCTTGTCAACGCCACAAAGAGCTGTTCCCTATTGATCATGGTTGCGAACCCGCCGCGTTGCAGTGGGCAACTCCTGATCGAGATTGGGAAGGGCGCGCTGGGCTTGGGTTTGAAAGGCACCATGTGACGGAGAAGGTGATTGCACACCTGTCTCATGGTCACAGTAATGATTCGGCAATACAGTCGCCTGCTAGAGATGATAAGTGGGTGAGGCCGCTGCAGATGCCTGCCCTTGAAGCACAGTTCCACCACCACCCCGCAAGGTTGTCTTTACTCACGAATCTCGAGAAACTCCCTGGAAAACTCCGCTCCCAGTATGTCTAGCCGTCCCTTCACTGTGGCAGCCGAACGTAGAATCACAGATGCTGCAAAGAAGGGGGCAGTTGGCGGGTTGCTCGTCAAGGCGTGAGCCAATATATGCGCGGCCGTGCAGACCTTACAGACTAACAATTGTACGTGTATTAGCATGCACCATCTCACACCCCAAACCGTGGACCACCACATGGTGGGTACTTGCTCAGCTTTCCCATTATTCAAATACATAATTAACCGGAGCAGATGTTGAGAGAAATGGAAGTCAAGGACCAGAAGAACGAAGGGAAGGAATCAAATGGGGGCAAAAAGTGATGATATTGGCTATATAATACAGTCTGTAGTGGTCGAAACTTGTGTGCAATCCCAACGCCCCCGTCAAACATGTCTTGTGAGCACCGTATGAGATGACTTGAGCTGTATAGTGAAGGCCACGGATGCTTTACTCTTCGTACAAGGATCCCAGCAACAGAGTTTCCCATTGAGCGCGGTGTCAACCTTAAGCCACCCTTTTAGTATCGTGTCTTTAGCAAGCGCCTTGCGGATTTTAATAAGAGTTATCAAGGTTATTATAATATGTGCATTATAAGCAGACTTTCGATATGTTAATGTAAGGTTTGCCGTATTAAAGTAGTTAAAAATCATGCCTTTTAAGATAAAATCTTTACAAATTGATAGTATGGTTTAAAAAGGGATGATTTCTTTATACCCGTTAAATATTAAGATTTTAATGGAAAAGGGGATTAACTTATAAACTTAGGCCTAAGCCAGCATTTTTTTCTAATACAGAACTATTTATGTTATTAATATATTAAATAATATCTTTTGCATTAAACTTATATAAGCAAAGATATTAATATTTATTTAGGTATGGCTATAAATGCTGCATTAGCAGTAAACTCACGCTAATCCATCTTATAATGCTTAGCATAGCTTGCCTATATATACTTAAAGGGGCGGTTATTTCCTATATGTAATGGTAATTTGGCCGATTTAAATAAAGAGAAAGAGTTTTAACGATGCGATAAGTACACATCGTTAAGAGCGTATAGCCAAATGTAAACTGCTTATTATTATGAAGCGTGATGCTATAAGTAGAATGCTATACGCTAAATAATAGAAATGAGCAGGCCGGAAACTATTTAGCCGCAGTTTGCTTCCTAGTAATCCTAATCCTTAGCTTTTAAGTTAATAGCGTTCTTATTTATCATTAGCCCACTACCATAACGTCCCTTATTCTTAGTAATAAAGAAACTCCTTCTCCTTAATACTTAACTCCTAAATAATCTTTTCATTTTTAATATGCACTGGGAAGCGGCCCTTATAAGGGGGATTTATATTAGGCGTGAATGGAATAGACTATTTCTATAGCTTAACGGCTTTATCTATAGGCATAGCCGGCTACTTAAGCAAGATAAGGAGTGTTATTAACCGCACCTTTTTATACAACATTAAGTAGGCGGACCGCATTATTATAAATGTCCTTAATATTAATAAATAAAAAAGCGTCTTTATAACCAAGGAAAATTAATTACATGGTTACCCTAACTAACCCGGACCTTACTATAATATTGTATGTCATTATAGTTAAAGACGTCAACATCCATAAGGTAATGAAAATACTTAACGTGGTCTTGGCCGAGATGCTCGTGGACAGCTCTGCGATGTATATGGGACCTTGGCTATTAACAGGACCAGATTGGCGTCCGCCGACATGCACTTAAACAAATCTGATCTACAGAAATAGGTGGACGACGTTCCCGAAGCCCATCGAGTTAGCGATGGAGTCAGTGCCCAGCGACGGGATCGTGTTGATAAGTGAGTTCAGGGCTATGCGCCCTAAGTTGCCCACAGTGGACCTGTTACGCATCCAAAGGCGGGGTTATGGTGTCACTCGCTGAAGGGCACCCGAAAATAAAGGAGGGATTGGTATACAAGATGGGCGTGGTGGCGAGCCCCGCCATGAAGGCCGTCACGGTCGTGAAGCAAGAAGATGCCAAACTCACGGATGTAGTTAAGAGGGCGATAATGAGCATGAAGAGAGCCCAATGTAAAGCAAGGTTCTGCTGGACATAACCTTGATATTAATTAACACGAGGCAGAGACGAACGCGCTAAGGAAAAAGAAGGTTATCGTAATGTTCGGTGCCTAGTAGGTTTTAGCAGTGAAAGCAGATGATGGTGGACGACGTGTCCGACATCGCCCTCGACCTTGACATGGACGTTACTGTTTTACCTAAGGCGCAGAGGGTAGGCCATGCCTTACGACTTGGACATACCTCGTTTAGTACGCAAGTATTGTTAATCTCAAGAGGAGGTTGGTAGTATTATGGGTTAAGTGTAAGTCGGAGTACTTTATTAATAAGGCAATGCCAAGCAGGGGTTATAAAAATCGCGGGCATACCAACGGTCTTCTTATTTATTATATCATTCCATAAGCAAGTTATATAAGGTTGATAAGCAAGGGCGTAACGATATTTGGGTGCGGGTTTTCGCATAACTTCATGCCTTGATTTAGAGTTAATTATAGTTAAGACAAAACTACTTTTATGCTCTCAGTAGTTCAATATATTTATCTTTAAAAGGTTAGTAAAGATATTCTCATAGCTATATATATAGGAAACTGGCAATAAAATATACGCGGATTATATCATTAAATAAAAGGCAATAAACGCAATACTTTAAATAAAATTTCGCAGCCACATAATTTAAAGGCAAGCCAGGCAGAATATTACGCAGTTACAATTTTAATCGCAAACTTTTGCTAGCAAAAGCCATTAAATTTTGTTCCATATCGCCCGTCCTTTAAAGATTACTCTCTTCATCCTGCTTAGGGGCCTAAACGCGCACTGGGAAACGGCCGTTAGGCCTTTATTAATTTAATTTAAACGAAATGAATTTAGGTTCTCGCTTAATACCAGGACTCTTCAACGCGGTCTTTGCCGGAACAGGTGACGGAGATACCAGAGTCGCTTCCCTGCTAAAGACTGGTGTCTCGCTGCGTGCCCGTTGCCACATCGTTAATGATGCTTCATCCTTGAGATGATGTCCAATATATTGGAGCTTTGCGCGCTCATCTCCCTCTCTTGGCGCTCGGGGAGGAGGCTGACCTGCCCACGCCCATGTCCTGTGGAACATAGCAGAGGTGTTCTTTTTGAGACGGGCCTTGCAATCCGTAAAGCCGAACCATGTTGGTCGTGAAGGGTCGCCTTCAACACCAAAGTCCCCATGGAAACTATGCCATCTCCAATTATTTTGTTGGGGCTCCTCCATGTATGAAAGTACATATGCGGCGTCCTGTGGAACCAGATTTCCCTTATAATTTTTTAAATCCTCTTTGGTGCCCCGCTTCAAGACTGGTATTATTTCGGGATCGATGGGAAGTTCCCGTAGTGCAAAGCACCTTCGAGGGCGGCCAGTCTCTCGTGGGATAGGGTCAAAAGAGACCATGATGAACATTTTGCCTATACTCCCTTCGACACGAGCGTCTGCTTCCCGACAAAGCTGTGGGTCCCAGAGCTTTAGTCGAATATACCCGTTGATAAATTGAAAATTCACGACATCTGGGACTCTTCTGGTCTCGTCATATGTCTCTTCAGCGTTTGCGGCTGCTTTGGGAGGGTCCTGGCTTTGTGGTGGCGGGTTCTGGCCTCGGACCGGAGCCTGATTCTGTGATATATTCTGGCTTTGGACCGGAGCCTGTGATATATTCTGGCCTTGGACCGGAGCCTGATCCTGTAGCTGGCCTTGGATCGGAGCCTGATACTGTGGTATATTCTGGCCTTGGACCGGAACAGCCTGATTTTGTGGTATATTCTGGCCTTGGACTGGAAATACATGGTTCTGTGGTACGTGCTGGCCTTGAAATGGAACTTGAAATGCCTGCTTCTGTGGCAGAATTTGGGCTGGAACCGCTTTATTCTGTGAAAGGCTTTGGACCGGAAGTGTCTGGTTCGTTGGTAGATTCTGCTGGGCTATCTGATGTTGGTGACGTGGTGGACTGGGGTCTCTCATGATCTGCTCATTGTAAACCTGCTCGCCGACCGGAAAAGTATCTGGTAGCAGTCCAGGTTGGTGACGTGGTGGACTACGGTCTCTCATGATCTGCTCATTGTAGACCTCCTCGCCGACCGGAACCGTATCTGGTAGCAGATTCTGTCCGGTATGGTCTCTCGTGGGCTCGTCATGGTTCCCGACCCCCATTCGCTGACGCTCTTGCGTTAAGATCGTGTCTGATGTATCCGTACCCTCCCCGTCTAAGTTATTCTGGTAGTGTTGTTGGTGTTCAATTCGCTGTGGGACTCTGCCGCGAGCCTCCTCTTGCTGCTGTGGGCCATTATCAACCTGGGTCGGTGCTGGATAATTGCTTTCCACAGGGTTGATAGGTGATGGTGAAATGCCATTCTGCTCTTCTGGTGACTGGTTTTCAGATGTATTGGCTCTTGTCGACGTTGTATCATATTGTGGTGCATCTGAAGAGTCTGGTTCCTCTCTCTGTGAATACAGCATTTCATAGTAGAGTTGTATCAGTTGCGGTTTTGTAGCTTTAGAATTGAAGTCCACGTTATTATCTTTGAGTATTTCCTTCAGTTGCGGAACCGTGAAGCCCGGCGTTCTTGGCGACTTGGGTGGTAAAGGTGATGTAGGTTGGCTCTTGGGCGGCAAAGGTGATGCGGCTTGGCTCTTAGATTGTGCTCTCGTTCTGCCGGACATGAGTAAAGCTGACCCATCCTCAGCCTGAGTCCTGATTTGAAAATCAGAAGACTTCCGTTTTTGGTTTCTTTCCATTATTGCAGTATACCTAGGTAGTTTGAGGAAGTGTCATACAGTTTCAGTCAATAAGATGGCTTAGCCTTGAGTATTTATATTGATACCTGCGAAGAAGAGTGACACTATTTACTAGAGCCTTGTTGCGCATTTCTGTTTACAGTTTTTTTGGTTCTTTTTGCGGGTCTTCGGAAATGATGGGTTCAGGCTATGGTTTACTCGCTTCCTTCATTGCGCATTCTCTTTCTGGAAGCCACCAATAACCATAGATACAAAAGCAAGCATCCCAAATCGTATCTGTCCCAGACACAGAAGGGTTTGCGAGATGAGACTTCAGTAGCCATGGAGTTAATCTGGATTTACACCATTTGTGTATCTGTCATCTTTTCTATTATCCTGACCAGAAATTTACTACTGGTCTGCTTACGCTTCATTTACTTGTTCCATAATATGTACTTGTCTCACACGTGGACCTCTTGGATGATCACTCCAGCTCAAGTCTGCACGTGGGTCATATTTGTAGCCATTAACTCGGTACTACTCGTTCCACAATGGGCAGGATCACCCAGAAGCACACCTACACAACTGGCCTTGCTCAACCTCCTGCCACTGTTTCTTGGTGGAAGGACTAGTCCGATCCTTAACATATTGCGCATACGTCGTGTTTCACTGTTCCAGGCGCATGTCTGTGTGTCCTTGATGGCCCTGGCTTCAGTCATCGTACACGCGGTCACTAGTACGGCCAACCAACCCACGGATACAATACTCATTATGTCTGGCATTTCTGTGTTGACTTCCTTGGTTCTGACCTGCGCTCTTGCCCCGTGGAGTTTTAAAAGGTTTGGACACATACTCCTCTTGCTACACAAGTCTCTGTCTATATGTACAATTCTCTGTATATCATGGCACTTGGTGGTTGTTGGTCAGCCCTGGATATCTGTACCGTGGGCCTTTGTTGCATGCATTGGCCTGACTTCTGCAATTATGTTCGGAGGGCGTATTCTTTGGTCACACTACACGCCTGTAAAGGCAGCTGAGGAGGATGGAAAGCTTTCGGTCACTCTCCTGAAGCAGTCTTATGACACAATGTGTCCGGCTTACTTCTATTTGCATCAGGGTCGACACGGCGAATTTGTTCCAGTAACCTGGTGGACCGGCGCTGAGAGTGGAGGAATTAAGTGCGTTTTATTCACAGACATGACTAGGTTTCGCAATTTTGCCCCAACGGTCACCGGACCTTTTCCTGAGGACATGAGGTTCTGCAAGTACGAAACGGTCATGCTCGCGGCTGACGGTGTGGGCATCCTGACCCTACTCCCAATCATGTTGGCTATAACATCCCGGAAGCGACACGACCTGGTGCAAAAGGAGCGACCATTTGGAGATATAGTCCGAAAAGTGAATTTGCTATGGAAAGTCAACAACAATGACTACATTCCTCGCATTTCCCCCTATTTTCAGGAGATTTGTCAATGGGAGAAGAGTCAGATTGCGGGTGTAGGTACTTGTCATCCAACGGTGTCCACATTCTAACATTAGACATCTAGCGACATGTGCACATCCTGGAGTTCCATCCTGATACTGTTGATCCAGAAATGGTCAACAAAGCACGTCGAGATCAACTCAAATGGGATGAAGATAAAAAGAACTGGCTAGCATATAATGTGGCAATGTTCACTGAGCATGTCTCAGAAATTATCAAGCACGACTCTCTGCGTACGCCAAACCGTACTATTGTCATATGTAAGTGGATCATCCTGTTCTCCGCTCCTATGAGACTAACGTGCCCGAATTAGCATGCGGTCCCGCTAGATTTACAAGTACCATTCGACACATGGTGCAGGAACACATGGATTCCAACAACATTATTGACTTTAGTAATGTGGACTGTGTAGATACCAGGTCACTTGATGCACATGAGAAGAATGGAGCATCAAGGCCTCACGTAATTGGCTAGGCTGCACAGAATGTGGGTACTTGCATGTACTTGTGACTTTGTTGAGAAACCATGGTGGGAAGGATACTATTCTGGATGTACTCAAATTGACATGGACACAAATATGAAGGTGCACACACCCCTGAACACATACAACAACCTGGGTACAAGATATACAAGATACAAGGCTTGAAGTTTACTCTGTACTTAGGTACCTGCGCCATAGTCTCCGAAATCTGGATCTAGAGGCTTAGAAACGTGCGGGCGGGATCTCCACATATGAAAAAGCTGGTAAGATTCACGCTATTTGAATCTAGAACCCAGTAAACTGTCTAGACTATTCTAGTCTCCAGTCACTCGAAACGAGCGCGAGAGATGCCCACCGAGATCGTTGATCGCCAGGAAAATATAGATTAATCTGAGATGTCCAGGGGTCAAAGTCGATGAATCCAAACCCCACCCGTCGTTTTGATTCTCCAGTGCTACATTTGATTGAACACTTTTCCTATCTTCGGTAATTTTCGAAATTCATCTTCCCATCCTAGTTGAACATAACATCCGCAATATCCTTGAAACCAACACAAGATATTATCTTTATCGACATCATGTCCTGCCCAACTAAAACTACCAAGAACACGTATCAGGTTCAGAAATCTTGGAATCAGCGGAAGCGCGGCATTATGAAGAAAGCCGATGAGATTCGCGACAAATTTGAAGCCAAAGTTGCCCTGTTCATCGAGAAGGACGGCGTGCTCCACGCGTACCAGTCTCACAACAACTTCCCCGAAACGGTGCCAGGTCATCTAAGGCCTGCAAATAGGATGTCTCCCAATGATTTCATAACGGTCGCTGATCAATTGCGTCACTTCGAGACTGGCATGAGCAAGCCCCCAACTCCTGCTTCAACCGTCGATCTCATGGACCACATCAAACCATTGCCGATGCATATGCACGTTACTCAAACACGGCGCCTTTTCGACATGGACTTCTAGTTCGTACATAGATAATAACTCAGTCTGGAAGTCATCACACAGCTGCTTGAGTACCTATCTTAGTATTTGCTTCTTCTGATGATCATTGTCGTCGACTAGAACTGTACCCAATCGACCAAAACTGGTATGTATGTTATGTAACGTGTAAATTTCTAGTTGGATTATGCGGCCTAGCCGTATTCCATAACATAATTACCGGGTCTACACCTAAGACTCTGTCTGTGGGATAGTAGTAGGCGTGGCGTGCCCACGTATTGCGTGTACTGCACACACTGCACAGATTCGGAGGTGCATGGTCTAGACTAGTCCTTATCGATAGCGGATGCCAGCTGATGCCAGCCGTCGACTAGCTGGCAGTCCCCTGGCCAGCCAGCCCATAGTCAGACTGCTGCAGGCTGCAGCCTTCGGCTGCAACCTACACCTCAACACCATTCAAATGCAAGCTTACTATCGCCACCCATTGTGCGTACGTACGCTTCTGTGCCTACCGATACTGTCTGAATCTCCAGTGGTATTGCCTCCCCTTCGAGGAGGCAGTACGGGTGTGGCAGCCCCCTGGGGATGTGCCAGGGTTTAACCCTTGAGAGTTTGTGTGTTTGGCTATATCAGACGCCCTCAAAGCCCATCAGTCACTTAGATGGGCCATCTTCAATACAACATCTTTCAGACCCCCCAACTTGTTACCACAACGGGGACATGGGGAGAGGAAATAGGGAAGAGATGGACTAGAGCGAGGGACGAATAGATTGGTGGCGGTTTCTGATCGCATAACAACGAGAAACTCAATTCATCTTGGTTATGTGCAGTGCCAATAGCTTCTCAACATTGCCCAACTCCAGTCCATGCCACAGGCCGGGAAATACTAGTAGCTGATCTAATGCATCAACCAGCTTCTGATGGTCTGCCATGAGCTCATCTGGCAGACCCCTTCCTAAGAGCCGGTCCAGGGCCCTGTTCTTGTAGCGACTGAGCCGTAAACGCCAATCCGCTGCAAGGTCTGGCCGTCCACTCTTTTCATAAAATCGAACCTTTGCAAATACTTCACCGTCTGAAGGGGGGGTCTGAAAATGATGCTGTTCTATTTCTCTGCGCAGTAGGGAAGTGGGGTCGCTGCCGGCAGGTATGCAGAATATCTTGACCGTCCACCACATTTGAGAGCCGTAAACCCTGAAGGCCGCCTCATAGCGTTGTCTGCCGTGGAGACACTTTATCTTGCCAGTGACGGTAAGCTTCGGATACGGTCCAGGCTGCAAAGCAGATAGAGCTTCGAGGGTTGTGCCGGAAGATTCAATGAGTGCATAAAGCTCAGTGGGAAAGACCATAACGGGGATGTAATTGTCCGGCATATGCGGATTACACTGGTGTTTCATCACTGGGACCAAATGACGCACAGCGTCATCCGCGAAATCGCGCCCTAGCTCAAATTGTAGGTCTTGCAGCCGTATTTGGCCACATCCTATCTGGAACTCACCCATTTTCCTTAATATACCCGCCCAATCTTTGGCGTGTAGCTGTCAGCAGGAATGGACCATCAAATATGCAAAAGCTCTATAGATACTATGTATTCTCTTCCTATGTATAGGAAACCTAATTACGTAAATTATTTATTGGTGTCAATATTCAAATATTTTTACTCTAGCTATGGAAAGTCTCTGTTGCTGGCAGCTTAAGTTCTGCCAGCAGGCGTCCTTCCCTGCGAAGCCAGTTATCTGGAAATGTCACTGGTCCTGCCAACAGTTCCTAGCTGCTAGCAGATCTACGAAATAAGCCATTTGGCCAACTTCCCCAACCCAACTGCCAACAGCTCCCAAGTCTGCCAGCAACTGTGGTTAGATGGTAAGTCTATCAGATCTGATATATCGATATCTGATAGCTACTTGCTGCGTTTTCAGAACTATCTTGAACTCCTGTGGATACTATCTGATTTCGAGCTCTCAAGGTTTTGATTAAGTCAAAGCAATGGTTTTGAAACTATAAATGCCAGCAATTATATCAAATTTCAACATTGCGATAGTGTGCGAAATCCTGACAATGACTAGACGCCATTTCTCACCACCTCGGCTGGACCGAGACCGTCATCCACGAAGGCCACCACCAGTGCGGGTAACAAGGTACCGTTCAGTTGCGGATCGACCTCCGACACCGTATGTTTGGGTTGAACCTGAACGTCTTAATCGATTTGAGAGGAGGGAAGATCACTCTCGTGAAACGAGCTCGAGCAGGGCTAGAAGGGCCGAGCAGGCGCGGGATGCCCAGCTTGATTACAGACTCAGCATTGCTGCTCAGAACGCGAGAATTGCAAGGAGACGGCCTAAAAAGAATACTGTGCGCTTTGAAAGATTTGTTACTGTGTTTTCTGAGTCTCGCAGGACGAGAATGGCAGACGAAGAGCTTGCGGACGATTTGAGGGAAATGGATATCTCTAAGTAGATTGCGACAACGTAAGAGTTCGCAATGATCTACATGGAAAAGTATATAATCCCTAAGGCTATCCCTCAACACAAAGGTTTCTCATCATTCATTCTGGAAACCACAATGGGGAGATTAATCAAGAACCATATAGCCAGATTAATTGTCCTAACTGCCGCAACGTGTTGGTACTATCTGTAAAATTCTCAGAGGCGCTTACTAACTTGTTTTAGACCAAGGGTGGGCGGCTCTGCAAGGGTTCCTTAACCCGAAGGTCTTCTTTGACATTATCAGTAAGAGTATGGATGTCATTGTTGCACCAGTGCCGTATTTGCAGATGCTCAACCTTACTCTCAGCCTCGTAACAGTTGGTTTGGAATGGCCGCTGCCATGTATTTCCCAGTCATCGTTGCATTGTAGTTTCCTCGTCCGCCTCATTACATTCCCTATCAACGCTATGGTAGCTCTATGGATGTATCAATCGACTGATCCAGCTTTCTACTACATGATTGGCTGGTGTTTATACCTCTGGGCGCATCGTGAGGATGAGGTGAGCAATGAACTTCATGGATTATCGAGGGACTGCTAATTTCCATTGGCTAGATTATTTTCCCAGACCGGTGGGTCACTCCACCGTCGCTGGAATAAACACTTTGGGTAATCGGCCGCGGATGGCGTGTCTTCGAGGAATCGTCTGGTGGCTGGTCTGCGTTCCTGAAACCCGGACTTCCTCGGTTCAAAAGTGGAGAAGATATGTAATGGATATGGTGATATTTAGGTTTCATCTGCCTTTCACATCAGAATGCCATGCAGATCAAATTACGCAGCAGTCGTCATTAGATAGTGTCAGGATGCCTTCGAGTTATCATCGAATGATCATTCAATCAAATGAAGTCCCCATCATCTACAACATGATGGCGGCCGCAGTTTCTTGGACCATGTTGGCGGGTTTCTTTGTCCTCCCAGGAACATTCACCTCTCTCGAAGGATCAGGGTTCTTGCAACAGTCCCAGCAAGGAAAGTCTGTCCAGAGAGTTGTGCAACGTCCCATTGCTCCCACTCGCCGGGCTGTGCTGCGCAGCCGGTGCGGCAGGACTTGGCTTCCTCTGGTTCAACTTTAGAAACAATTACGTTTGGTTGTTAACGCATTTGTTCTTGTAAGTTCAACCAACAAATAGTAACATTGGGCCCTGACCAAACGTTCAATATCAGGCCAGGTCTCCTCAACTCATTGAGTGGGCTTTTAACGGTGCTAATTAACGTATACACTGCACAAGACGGTACATGGTCGCCCACTGCATGGGTGACGCTGGGAGTCGTGGTGTTCTCTCTTAACTTTATGATGGTAACGTCTTCATTATATAGATACTGGTTATCGTTATTAGTACGCTGATTCTGAAAATCGGAGAAATGTAAAGGAACGGTGGAAAACACTTCTCGTGGGACGGAAATCTGTGGTGGGTAAACAGGCGGAAGGGGTCTATAACATCAGGTCATCTATGTATTTTCGATCGGCTTGTCAAAGGAATCCATGTTGCGTTCTATCTAATTCCACCATCGATCATGTCTGTACCATGGCTTGATCTTCGCCTAGGCGCTGGCGGTATGAGGAGCCCGTTTTTGCAGGAGCACCATGGGCCGTACAAATTCTTGGATGAGCAAGCTGCCTGTTCTCCCCACACCGTCATGTTGATCAGGGGCAGAGAAGGGTCAGACGGCAACCATATCTCTTTGAGACAACTCGGTGCATCCATGGCAATCATTTTGGACTGCAGTCTCCACCATCGCCAACGTATCCCAACATTGAAGGCAGGGCCGGTTCCGAGCAGTTTCATGCTACACCCTATCAATGGAATTGACAGGTTGATGGGGGCATCAGATATTGCAAGACGGCTCTACGCCAAATTCCTCTCATCTATGAGCAACGTAGTTGTGTTTTTAGAGGATGAGTACGAAGGGTTACAGCCTATCCTGCGAGAGCTTGCACATTGGGTTTTCCTTGCCTCGTCATCCTCAGCCTCCCATGCGCGCCTTCGTCCCTCTGTTCTGGTGTTCCGCACCCTCGATAGTGGGGCAGCGAATTCCTCGGCATGTTTAGAGAGTCAGCTGACTTGCGAAATCATCGAGTTCTTCGATCCTCTGCGAGAGCACACACTTAAAACTGCCGAGCAGGCCTGGCGAGAACAGTTCAGCACATTGAAGCTAATCCAGCATCCAGGCAAAGACGAAGACGTCCTTCAACATATACTTGATGAGTCTCTTGAAGCACAGTCTCACAATAATCAGGTACATCTTCCTTTCACCGGAACACAGCTTGGTTGTCTCTTTCGGACGGGGTGTGTCCGTTTCTCTACGTCATTTCAGGAGTCGCACAGCCTAATCCTGTGCTCTCGAATCTCTCCGGATGTGCCCGAACCTCTGCAACGCGAAATTGCCAAGGTCCTCCAGTGTGTTGCGCGGAAGCCAAAGCTTATCGGATCAGCTGGGCAACTGATCGCGTCGGCACTTATGCTTGACAGTTACAAAGAAGCTCAATTCTGTACGTATGGATATTTCCGCTGGTTGAGTGGAGACGTTGAACTGAACAAAGGCAGCTTTCTCACCGGATGACATCTTTCGCACGGTCTACCGCGAGTTTCTTCGACAAGTACAATCGTACTTAAAGCCAAACACACACTTCGAACGCATGGTTCACCAGGGCTTCTTAAATCTTGCTGCAAATGTATCCAAGACCGAGGGATGCTGCAGGAAAGATTTCATGGACGGTGAAACTCTACTGTGGGCCGCGGGGGTGACAAATGCCTGCCTGTCCTGCCTTTCCAGGTTCCCGTCAAACACTCTGTCTTGTGGCCACAGGTTGTGTGACATCTGTGTCGCAACTCACGAGAAAAGTTCTCAAGTATGGTGTCAAGAGCCTTGGGTGCCGAGCTGCATTCTCTGCGGCCATGTCAACACAATACGCTTCAGCCTTAAGCCGCCCACCGCCGGTGTACGCGCCTTGCGTGTAGGTGGCTTGCTCGAAGATGCTGAGGCAATGGCAGAAATTCTTCGAACCTTGCGCTTCCGGCTCGCTGGCCCACTTGAGGACTACTTTGATCTTGTAGTTGCCACCGGGATTGGTATTTTCTTTGCCACTTTGATATTCTGCAAAGGGGCTACAGTCGCGGACTGCGTGCACCACCTTGGAGATCTCCAATACATCAGGGCTAAAAAGCAAGAAATTAGGTTCGGAAACAGTCTGAGATTTCGGGGTGACGAGATGGGGACTAAAGGTCCGAAGCTCTTTTTTCAACACGGCTCATTCACCTTATCTCCTCATGGGTATGTTCCTTTTGGCACAAGAGATATCGAAGCGATACTTACATAAAGAAGGCCACAAAGCGGCCAAGCACTCGACGTTGATGCTGAAATCGAGAAGTTGTGGCCCGGCTCAACGGCCCGGATCGTTGTCGATTTGCAGCCCCCGTTCGGGATCCAACCTGTGGAAGTCCCGGACCATGTTCTCGTTTCCCTCTTCTATGTTGAGCTCCCAGAAAAGCCTGTCTTCTACTCAACCTCACCCCTCATCGTAACCGTGGTTATCAAATGTAGGCTGCAGCCCAGCCCACATCTTGCTACCCTGCTGCTGCGAATGCGGACGGAGAGCGTGCAGGTGTACTTCAAGGGGGATGAGCCGACGAGAAAGGCAGACTTTTGTGATGATCATGCGTGGAACGGGATAAAACAGGGAAATCCATTCTTGCGCCAATGCCACTTACTCGTGCGGTCTCTCACATCGGTAATTGACATCAGAATGGATAGTATTCTTGGGAAAGGGCGTGTACCTCTGAGTCACAGTCCTTGGACGTTGTTGGATCTAGCACAGTTCGGAGGTCAGAACCACAAGGAGGCCGAGGCTGTGGCAGTTTTAGACAAGATCAACCACATGGAGGATAGGCTGTACGGGCTCCGTATGGGCTGACACACAGTTTATCAATGTCTATGTTAATATACTTGTCTAAGTCATCGCCCCGTCCAAGGATTCCACAGCCACTCAGAGGGAGAAGCCCGGCGGTCGAGATCGGACGAATTACGGATCTCTATCTGCACATGGCCCCAAGTTGACCGTTGGGAGGGAGGCCTGGATACAACGAGGCCGTGGCTGATCTACGCACTATCGAGCCGTGGGCAAGAGATTGTGCTAGCCGCATATGAGCTGGGCGAATCGCTGACCTCTACCCGCATCTTTTCTAAGGATAGTTGCTGAGATGGAGGCCTGGATACAACGAGGCTGTGGCTCTCCTTCACACTATCGAGCTGTTGGCGAGAGGCTGCGCCATCTCCACATGACTCTGATCCTCACCGGTCCCTCATTTGGGATGAGTTGGTCCGTCAGATGGTCTGCTGCCTGTGTGGCCAGGAGCTGAAAAAGAATCTGCCCGTAGGTTCCATGTGGGCATTGTCTATATAAGAAGAGGCCAGTCACCGCGGGTTGCGCCCCGATTCTCTCTTTGTTTTGTTCGAGTCCCATTCTAAAGTCAAATCCGCAGAATGTCACTTGAAGCTCTTTCAATAATGTCGTCTATCCGTCCAATTAAGCGACTGCGCTCCGAAAGTACCGAGACACTGGATTCGACACCTGTGGCATTTCCGAATCTTACAGAGTCAAGTAAGACCGTCCCAATATATTGAACACTCTTTGCCCAATTCTGACTCACACATGTAGGTACGGCACATGAACTCGGATCGGTCACTATCAAGTACCATGGGAATCCCTCCATTCAGAGGGACTCCACACCAAGAGTGGTGCTCACGTCCGAGATCGAGACCGTATCAATCAGTCTCTCGCTCGTGGTCGAACTTCGCAGGACGTTTTTGGATTTCCAAGCGGACTACGAGTACATAAGTCTCAAGCACTGGAACATTTCAGAAATCCAGGATTCGGGCTCTTCGGAACATCATGTTGTGCTCACATACATTATCAACGCTGAAGCAAGCATTGGACTTCAGTGGGCGTGTCTGATGAACACAATGATCGAGAATGACGAAATTGAATAGCTAGGCACGAACAAGGAACATTCACCTCTGTGGTAGCAAGTTGGGGTGTCTGAAAGATGTTGTATTGAAGATGGACCATCTAAGTGACTGGTGAGGCAGACGCACAGATTCTCTAGGGTTAAACCCTGGCACCACCTGGGGGCTGCCACAACCTCATTTTCATCTCTTCAGACAAGATAGGGACATTCTACCGCCGGAGAACTTTTACCGCATGCTTCGAAACTCGGAACGAATTTCGAAATGTCAAAACGCATTTTCGCTGTGATAAATTTCATAGTCCCGATAGCAATCATGAATCATGAAGACGGTCACTTTTCTCGGGCTTCTACTTGCTATAAAGGATGCCCAACTTGGAGTGTGAACAGCTCCGGTGACAGCGGTCTGTATGTTGTCCCCTCAAGCAACACAACGTCAACATGGACCTACCATCATCCCCTGTCGAGTCCAATACTCCGAATGCGTTACAGTATGGTGAAGACCTCGAATCCGAGCTGGCCACATCCGTGTTGCGTGGGAATGCGCACCGAGTCCGGTCACTGATAGGCACGTTCAATATTACCCTGTCTCACAGATACTCTTGGGTTCTGTACGAGGCCTGTCTCCGCGGTCCCAAGATGATTCAGGCTTTCCTTGTAGACCCGGAGATCAATCTCGATACCGTTACACAAGGCTCTCCACTATTGCACCACGTGTTAAACACTCCTCAGGCATCATTCGTACACGACAAGGAGGAGACGGTCAGGTTTCTGTTGAAGTGTGGTGCCGATCCCCTCCAGTGTGACCGATTAGGCAACTCTACATTGCACCACCTTTCCAGCAACATCGTGCGATGTGACGAACACCGTGGCACGGAGGGTTACAGGCTCATGCATCTGCTGTTGGTTGGTGATGAGAGTCTGCAGGCGGCCGCCCGTGAAGGAATCGACGCCCAGAATAGATACGGGGACACACCTCTCACCCTTGCCCTCATGTACGACCACATGGAATGTCTACAACTACTTCTGGAGTACGGTGCCAATCCATTCATTACAGGCGAATTCGGCAAGTCGCCCCTGGACTTCGCGCAGGAACGCGGAGACTCGAAAGTAGTGGGGCTCATGCTACGCGCTTGGTCTAGAGTGGCCTGGCCAGCTTCCTCCGAGGTTGAGTGAAGTGTCCATATTGAACAACTGAGATCCAGAATTCTGGTTTTCGAATGCGTGGATAGGGATCCTTGATGTCCTCAGCAACGGCTCGCCAATGGCGTTTGCACAGTATTCTACACAGATAAAACACTCAGGATATAATACGAAGGGTCCAGCCAACCTTGAGATGGTACAGTGCACGCCCTCACCACCAAAATGTGCAAGGTCGAGTCATTCAAGTATCTGTGTGGTTGTGTCCGACCAAACCCCATGACTTGTGGCCGATCGTGTACCCTGGATCAGGTTCACAGGTCGTTTGCGGAGCCTGATTTGCTGCCAGTTGTGTGTGCTGTGTGCGCAATGGATGATGCCAGGTACACACATCTACCCAAATCTTGTGACAGCCGCTAATTGCCATAAGTACTGTTGAGTCGCGCCGGAGTAGCGGTGCTAATTGGCTACATAGAGTGATGAGAAAACACCGCTTCAGACGCCGAATATGGCGGGATCACTCAATACACGTCAAGTAGTGATGGAGGAAGAGCAAAGCCGAGAAACAAGCGCAGTACTTCGTGAAGACCTTCAAATGCGCGCTACAGACTGTGATCCTATGTATAGTTTCGTACTTTTGGCGTACAACTTCGTCCAGTCTGGCCGGTAGGGACCAGGGACTTGCTTCGCCGAGTCCCTGAAAGTGGTTGGAAGCAGCCTTCTTCCAGTGATGTGCGGGCGTAAATACCGGGATCCGGATCCTGTCCAGGCTCACTTTCTGAACTGCAACGTACAGAAAACGGTCAAGGGGTGTGTTCAAGCTAGTCTAGTTTGGTCGCATTGTTTGGTCACATTGGCGTCTGTTGGTGCTTGCCGCCACTGCGGTGGGTGGGGCGATGCTTCCGGCCATCATTATGTGCACGGTACACGCGATTAAGCGCAATGGAACCGTCACGGAGGGTTGCATTATCATTTGGAAACAACACAGCTACATGTCGTGTCACCCGATTAACATACAGCACTGTGTAACTTGGCTTGTCGCAAGTACAGTAGCATTGCTGGACGCCATCACCCCGGGAAGTAACTCAAACAAAGTATGGTTCAAGGGTCCGGCGAGAATACTGACCTATGGCTAAGAGAGTGTTTTTGTCATGTCGGCACTTGTTGCATCACAGTTGGCCATGCTACTTTGATAGTGGAGGGGGCGTGAGCTTCGTAAGAAGCATTGACATTGTCAACCCCTGACTTGGGAAGTTCTGGAGGGAATTGACCGCCCAAATGCGCAAATGCAACACATCGTGTTGAAAGGAGAAGAGGCACAGCGAGCTCGGGGGACAAGGCCAGTTGGCGCTAATGGGAGCCGCTTGTTTTCAATAGCAGTACAACCAGGGTGACCAGCCCAAAAGTCTGTTGGGGGGCGGGGGAAGGATGTCAAGCATCCGGAAAGTTGCTCAAACTATCGAAGCCTCCTGTGGCCAACCAAGCGTCCTTTATTGGGGGCCCGAGATCAACACAGTTCCGGCGCACAGAATGAGCGAGGCTGCTCGAACGTTGGCCAAGATCGTCTGCACACAGCCCTCCTGTCCTCTCCTCCGGCCGTTGCCCAAGTCTGTTCCCCCTTCCTCTTCTCCCGCTGCATTCACCTGTTCCCGTTTACTTTCCCTTACCACCGTCATCTTCACTCTGCGGCTTCGTTCTATCCATCCATTCAATTCTTCTCTCTGTCGCTTCAATCGAACTTGCCTATACATGCAATTCAACGCCCTTCAAAATGCCCAAACCAAGCACAGAGTACTCGAGCTCGGGGTCGGAATACACGCCGTCGGATGAATATGAGGAGGCTTATTTCGAGCCGGACTCCAGTGGCATGTCCGGTGAGGACAGTGATATATCCGGTGAGGACCTTGATGTGTTCGGTGGGCCCCTTGATTACAATATTGCTGGGAAGGAGCTGCAGGTTGAAGAGATCGAAGACCGAGTCCGGCGATTTGAAGAGAGTGGCTCTGATATGAGCTCGGATGAGTTTGACGATGACCTCGACAAGCTTTACCACGGCAACAAGCATCCTCCAGAGTTCTACCGGAGGGGCATTGAGAATATGAACGAAGACAAATACACACGCAAAGTGTACGCAAAAGGGACCATGAAGTTGATTCGAAATAGCGAGAATCATTGGAAGTTGTAAGTGGGACAATCGTATCGGAACTTGCTTGGGCCAGCTGACATTGTTAGGTACTGCCGCACGGTTCTGCAGGAGGAGGACTGGATCAAGAGCTTCTCACGCGTTAACTTCAAGGTTGTCTACCAGTTTCTTCAGTGGTACCTTGCTCAGAGGACCAACAAGAATGGCGGCACGAAACGGCGTGTCAAGGCGAGGCAGTCCCTAGTCACCTTTTGGTGCTGTTTCCGTCTTGCCTATCAGCGAGCGACTAATCTGAAGATCGACACGGTGGTCGACCGTGGGTTGATGCATAACGTAAGTCCTCTACTGGAGCCAATATCTTTACTACCGCAACTTATAGACATAGGGTCTCGTGGAACTCAGCAAGTCTTTGGAGCACAATGTGCGGCCTAATCGATCCATGACTATTGATGACCTGAAGCTTTATATCAACACAACGTTGTGTACGACGGAGAAATCATTCAAGATGGGGGAACTGCGCATCCTAGCTGTTCTATTCCTTCTTCTCCTTGCCCCTCAGGGCTCTCGCCCTGGATGCATGCTGGAGCTGAAGTTCAAGCATATCAAGATTCTCCTCATACGGGACCCGAACAATCCCGAGGGACGTCCTAGGCTCGTGACCAAGCTGAGTCTGCAGTTCACCAAGACCTATCTTGGTGAAAAGGCCACGTAAGTACCCTGCCGGCGAATAGCAATACTCCAGGGGAAACACAGTTGGATACTAATAGCGAAATAGGAAATCGTTTACGGTTCCGGAGATTATGTACGACCCTAGCTTGCTTTTGAGTCCTCATGTATTCCTGCTCGCCATCATTTTCCGATACAAAGCTTTCAATTCGCCGAGTCTGAATGAGAATCCACATGAGCTCGGCCAACTACGAATCCACCGAGGTGAAAACGAGATGTACCTTTCATTCCGGCCGGAAATCCTCAACATGTACATATTCCGCAAGCCTATTAAGACTTCCTCCGGTTACCGTATGGGCACGGAGCGTCTCTCACAGGGTACGATGAGTAAATGGATATCGACAATGGGTATGCTGTCGGGCTTCGAGCACAGCACGATGGCCTACAACCTCCGCTATATGGCAGGAAACAGCTTGGACAGAGATGGTATGTCTCCAACTATTGCCAAAGCTCATTTCGCCTTTGCTTCTAGCTTCATCTCTGACACGACACAGCGAATATCAGCAGCGCACTGCGAGATCTGGTCATGGACCATGCCCCAAACTCCAACACGTTTCAAAAGCACTGTTGGAAGGTGCGAGGGTCGTATGCCCATACGCTAGCGCTAGCCTACAAATAGGCTCCTTCTGAGCGTTTAATAGCGAGAGATTTCTCTCCTCACAACACAACAATTAACTATCATTTGCTTCATTAGGTTGTGAGCTTGGCATTGCTTAAGATATCTTAAAACGTTAAGAAATATTAATACCCTTATTTTTATAATTATTTTCATACTTAAATTATTAAGATTTTAATGTTATTAGCCTTTGCTTATATATCATTATTATACCTTATAATAGCTATTATAATTAATAATAACTTATAATAATTTAACACTCCTACCTTATTTAATATTTTAACTATTTACTCCATTTTATTTATTTATTTATATTAATTAATGCTAATTATTATAAATAAATAAATATATAAATATTATTTAAAATATACTTAAAAATATATAAATATTATTTAAAAAATATTAAATATACTTAACTTTAAGCTTAATTTATTATCTTTCTTAAAGTTAAACCTAAAAAAGGAAAACTTTTTAAATTAAAAAGCGGCATAAAGTTATGGCTTTTAATTTACTAACTTTAATAAATATATTATAAGCATTAAAAAATAATTAAAAAAAAGTATGGCTTTTATAAAATAAAAAAAGCTTAATAATTAAGTCTTTATTATATTCCTAAGCTTAATATATTTAAGCCTTATAATATTTATTATATTATATAAAAAATCTTTTAATGCTTAAAAAATATTAATTAATTAATTTAATTATAATATTAATAATTTAACTATTTACCTCTTTTATTAATTAATAAATTTATAATATAAAAATAGCTTTAACTTATAAAGCTATTTAAATGCTTTTTAAAATCTTTAAATAAAACTTTATATTAAAATTTTAATATTAAGATAATTAATTAAGAGGTTAATAAAGTTACTTTTTAAAAGTAATAAGGTTAAAGGCTCTTTCTTCTTAATAATTATGGTTATAAACGTGCTATAAGGGGACAGCAGCACTGGGCACGATAGGCACTATGGGCGATAGGCATTATAGGCAATTAGCACTAAAGCACCAGCAAGTAAGGGTTATGTGCGGCAGCACGTGACCACCCTTAGATAGTTTATAGCTAAAGGGAGGTTTTGCAGCTTATAACTGCAACCCTTTTTCTTTTTATATAGCTAATTTAAATATAATTAATTTGCTATTAACTAATGTATGTTAACTTAGCTAATATTAATTAGTAATTGCTTATAAGTAGTTATAAATAGCAAAGTAAATAAATAATAAATTTATATTTGTTGGCTGGGTTAACGTATGTTGGTTGATAGCAGACTGGTTGTATTTAAATTGGCTATATAGAAGGAAGGAGGGTTGCGGCTGTAGGCTGCAGAACCTCCCTTTGGCTATAAACTATCTAGGGGTGGTTATGTGCTGCTGCATGTAACCCTTACTTGTTGGTGTTTTAATGCCAATTGCCTATAGTGCCTATTGCTTATATTACCTATCATGCTTAGTGCTGCTATTCCCCTATAATATGTTTATAACTATATTAGCAATCTTTAATTAAGTAGTTAATGTATATCTTTAAAAAGTATATAAAAAAAAGAAGTTAAATTAAACTTAAAGTTACTAAGTTTAAATTTATTAATTAATTAAATTAATTAAAGGTATGTGCTTATTTAATTATATTAAGTATTTATAAAAGGCAGGTATATAAAAAGGCTTAAGTTATTATTAAGGGGTTAAAGGTTAATTATTTTATTAAAGTATATAATTAATAAATAAAGGTTATTTTAATAGTTATGTATAGCAAATTATTTTAATTATATTAATTAATAAAGTATAAATTATTACTTTTATTATATAAATATTTTATTTGTAATGCATTTTATAAACTCATGTTTTTACTACTTATAATGCTTAGGTTAAATAAGGATTAAACTAAATCCCTAGATTAATAACATTATTATTTAATCTTTAGCTTATGATATACCCTAATTTAATTTAGCTTAAGCTTAACTATACTTAATTTCCATAATTAAATAAAGATTAATTAGCTATAAAGGAAAGATAAGTAAAATAAGTTATAAGGGTTTAGTAAATAAGGTATTTAAATAAAGGAAAGAAGTTAAGTATAAGGGATTATTAAGAAATTATTTAATATTAATTAAGTTAGTAAATAAAAATATATATAAGATTAATATATAGGTATTAAACTGCGAAATTTAATTAAAGACGCTTATTAAATATAAGCTGGCAACTTAAGTGCCCATGAGATAATAGTAATTTTTATTACTTAAACCCTTAATATATATGTATTATTATAAAAATCTTAGCTATAAGGTTTGCCTTTAAAAGGGAAGTAATTCTAAATATAAGCTATATTATATTATTCCTTAAGGTAATTTATAATTAATTAATAAAAGGAAGATTTAAACTTTTGCTAGTTTTATATACTTTTATTAAATAAAAGCAAAGATTAAGTTGCTTTAATAATTTTTTCTTTATAACCTTATTTATAATTAACTTAATTTATTAACTTTTATTAACTTTCATTTAAATGTTTTTTTAATAATAGGTAATACGTTAAGCTTTAATATACCTTTTCTTCTTGCCTAAATAAATAATTATCCTTAATTAATATATTCTTATACCTTAATTATAATCTTATTAATACTTATAAGCTGCTTAAGAGTTTTATTTAGCATATTCTTTATAAAGGCGTTTATTAAGTTATAATTATTAATAATTTATTAAATCTTAGAAATCTTGCGTCTTTTATATAACTATTAAAGTATTATTAAGTTAATTATAAGGCATTTTTCTTTAATTATGCTAAGCTTAACTAAGTACTTATATAAAGAGTATGAATTTATATAAATTATAAGAGGAATAATATTAATGCTAAGATAAGTGGTGATTTAATATAAAGTAGCTGCTAAAATAATACCCATATTAAATCTATAAACCATATCATAAATCTTAAAAGCTAAAATGCTTTTGGTAACTTTCTTATACTTAATAAAGGATTAATGGATAATGTTGTTATAAATATTTAATTCCATAAAGTTATTACCTTGAGTTTTATTAATAAGAGTAATAATAAAGCCTATTTAAGAGTTAAGATCTTAGTTATTAGCAAAAGAATTATTAATAAAGATAAGTAGTTTAGCTATAATTAAGTTAAGTAATATATATTATATATTGCATTTAAGATAATTAGCTTATTATTAAAGCTTTTTATTAAGCTAGGTATAATTTTCTTTACTTAAATTAATAATTTAAGTAATTATAAATAAATTAAATATAGCTTTTAATTAATAAATAAAAGCTAAGTAAGCATTATAAGCTTATTGCTTAGCATATTATTATCCTTAATTAGGAAAGGTAATTTAAATAAGAGCAATCTTTATGCCCTAGCCCTTTTAATATATATTAATAATATTATCCTTTATAATAATAATTTTTATATTATTAAAGTTAAGTGCTATTTTAAGGGTAAGTATTATCTTTAGCTTGTATTAAATATTTATCTTTTTAATCTTTTTTTTCTTTATTATTAAGAATGCTGGAGTAATAATAAAAAGAATATTATTTATTTATATAGTTATAATGCTAAAGTTATTTACATTACTATTTAAGATAAGAAAGCATAAATTATAGGTAGAAATAATTATACTTAGTTTCTTATAATAATATTTATAATATATTATTTATTAATATATATTAAATTTAGTAATGCTATATAAAGGTTTAATAATATATATAATAATATTAAAAGAATATTTATTATAAATCTTTAGTGGTAACTTTATAAGTATTATATATTTAAGCTTTAACTTTAATTATAAATAAGCTTAAATAATATCTTAAAGCTTAATATATATTCCTTGTTAAAAAAGGAATAGTGCTAAAGTAATTAAAAGTTATTAGCTTAATTATTAAATAATAAGGAACTAAGTAAGAATCTCTTTCTTATTATAATTATTGCAATTAGTTATTATAAGGCATGACTTTTTATAAGGCTTTTTAATTTTACTCTTAATCTTATATATTATTTAAAACTTAAAGAGTTATATACCGCTATATATCTTCTTATTATAAAGTATAAACTTAAAGATACTATATTTAATTAAGTTTAATACTTCCTTATAATTAAATTTCTTAAATAGGTTTTTAAATATAGTAATTATATTATTTTATTAAAGCTTTAATATAAGTTTATAATTATTCTTTTTATATTAAGTAATAAATATTTAATTAAGAAATATTTAAATAATAAATATTTATACTAAAAACGCCTTAGTAGGAGTTTTTAGCTTATTTTTTGCTTTTAAAGGTTATCCTTATTACCTTAGTCTTAAAGGATTTAAGTATATATTTAAAGGATTTGGCTTAAAATATATAATGTATTGTAAATTATTATTTAGTTATAAAGTTTAAATCACAGCATTCTTTATTTTATTATAATAATATAGCTATATTACTATAAATTAAAAGACTATTAAACTATTTAAAAAATTTAAAGTAAAATTATAACCATTAATAACAAGAAGCTTATATAAGCCTAGTCATTTATCTTTTTCTTATTATACTCTTATATTACTTTATAATAATAAATTAAAAGTTTTTATAATTATAAGTTTATTATAAGTATTAAGAGCTATATTTACTTATTATTTAGCATTTATTCTCCTTAAAGACTTTATAATTATTTTAATAGCTTTGGCTTGCTTTTATATTAAAAGAGTAGGAGCCAAGTCTTTCATAAGGCATAAATAAGCCTTAAAAATAAGCAATATAAGTATAATGCCTTGAAAGCTATAAGTATTATTAACAGCCTTTACTATTATTTAAAAAATAGCCTCTTTTATATAAATAATAGTTAATTTAATATATAAAATATTAAATATTTATTAAAAAGGGGCGTAATAGCATTTAACCTTATTAATAAATTAATAAGCTTTTATTAAGACTTATTTATAAGCAATTCCCATTACTTATGCTATTCCTTAAAACTTAATAAATACAAAGTTTATATTAACATTATAAAGAATTTAATTAAAAAG